AAGCATTTCAACAAGCACTGCATAGAAAGATGGCATGTTGGAAACACAGTGCTTTTCGACATTTAGCACAACAAAATCTTGAAAGCCGTCTAATATTAGCTTCTAATGTACACGGTTCACATCGTCGTTTTTTTTCGTGGCTCTTCTTGTTTTTGTGAGCCATTTTCCTGTGAATTTGGTCTGAATCTTTTGAGTCCTGCCTGCAAAGTGAACAGTATCCCACTCGTGATTTCACTTCTTCTTGTTAGCTGTCCAAGAACAAGTTCATGCGATAATTGTCTCAAAAATATCTTCTTCGGAGATCTTTCTTACCATTCCCATGACTCCAACATTCTATAGGCGTTGCAGCATTTTTTGCGTTTCCTATAACACCTGGTAAATGTCTTAGTTCTGGGATTTTGTTCGAGTCCTATTAGAGGGAGGTTTCCTACACCATTTTGTAGATTTATCTCTACTCATAAAATATTCAGCATTATTGTTCAAATTTATTTCTTCCTCACTCTCATCCTGTTCGTCATCTTGTTCTGTCAAAGAATCGACTTCGCGACTCTCTAGATGGTCTTCGTCACTTCTACTTTCATCACCTAAATCGTCAAGAAGATTATTTTCATCAGCATCATCATTCAGCATTCTTAGAATCTCTTCTGAATGAGCTGGCTTTTCTAAATTATATATTTTTTTACCACTCGCCATATTTACTAGCCTATAAAATGTATGGACTCAAGTTAGTAACACATTCGGGCGCAGTGAATCTCGTAGATACTTTCAAAAAATTGCAATTAAATGAGAAGTATTGAGATATATATTCAAAAATACGTAAAAAATACAGAAAAAGAATACTTACATTCACAAAAAATTGCAATATTCGTACGTATCAAAACGTTGCACGTTCGGGCGCAGTGTATCTCTAGGATCAAAATACCGATTGCCACTATATGTGAAGGTCAAACACAAAATGATAAAGACGCATAAATAAAACATATAAAATTAGGAGGCTATTGAAGAGTGGAGGTTTCTATAACATTCAACCAAGGCGCAGCATGAAAAATTATTGGCTCTGTATCTGTCAGATCGGCTGCGCCCGACGAAGGGTTAAACAATTAATTTGAACTCTGCAATTCAGTTTATATAATTCTTATAAATATTAGACAATGTTACAATATTTATAATAATCTATTTGAAAACATTCAATATTCCTCGATCGTTTCGCTACGGTACGGGAAGTTCCAGCAATTTGCCTTAAGGCACGATGCCATACACACCACTAGTTCTGATAATTTTTAAGGCTAGGAAATTAAAAGAGTTACTAACCTCAAGTTCACAAATGAACTGCAAATGCTTATTAAACAAATTAAAACTAGTTGGTTTGGTATTTATCCTTGAGGCAAGTACATGAACTTCCCGATATGTGTAAATAATCGACTTAATCAATAAAAAATATAGTAAGTTATAAGTATTCCGAGTGGATTTATTACACATCATTGCAAACGAACGAACGAACACGTTAACTCCGAGTATTTTCTAAAAGCAAATTTTCACAAATCAATAATTTCAATTAATCAATAATTATAATTGAACCAGTTTCCATGGGACTTTAATGGTTTACTATGTTCAAGGCCAAGTACACTATCGTTAAACCAACTAAATCATCTAATTTTATTTTTAACAAACGTCAAAAAAACTACTCATTTTCTCAAACTTTGATGAATTTTTAAAATTACACTACTTGTCCTAAGGCCGTAATAATTCAGTAAGTTCTATAAGACCATGATATATATCGGCAAAAAAAGTTCCATAAAAATCGGCTTAAATTTTTTTTCAACAGTTAATTACAAGAAAATGGCTCAGTAGATTTTCACCTAAAACTAATCAGTATCATCGCCAACTAATATCTTTCGAACAGTTTTTGATTGTTTTAAATCGGTTCGGTAGTATGAGCTTAAATGTGGACGAAAGGTTTAACACTTTTTTCCAAATTACAAAGAAACGGCTCGGCCGATCGTCGCACAAAACTGAGAAATGATAATCCTCATCGAGATACATCAAATGCTTTTTAAATATCTGAAATCGGTTCAGGCGTTTTTGAGCAAACGTCGATGAAAGTTCTAATTTTGACAAATGCCAAAAAGACCATACTAATTATCGCAAACTTTGACGAATTTTTAAAGCTAAATCAGTTGTCGTAGGGCCGTAATATTTTAGTATGATCTAGAAGACTATGGTATCTACCGTCAAAAAAATAATCATAAAAATCGTCGAATTTTTTTTTTAAAAAACTTTATTACAAGAAAACGGCCCGGCCGATCTCTACCTAAAACTAATTAGCACGATTCCCAACCAATATCTTTCGAATGGTTTTTGAATTTCCAAAATCGATTCAGAATTGCGGGCTAAAACGTAGACAAAAAATTTTTCACTTTTCTGCGATTCATAAAGAAACGGGTTGGCCAATCGTCGCACAAAATTGACAAACAATAGTCCTCATCAAGATAAATCGAGTGGCTTTTAAATTTTTGAAATCGGTCCAGCCGTTTTCGAGAAAACGTCAATTTACGGCAAAAAATATGTTCACATACACGCACAGACACACACACATAGTTTTTCCAAATTTGGTGTCATTCGATTCAGAATGGCTTGAAACGACGAGAAAACAAAATTAGCAATTCGGATTTTTTGATGAAAACATAAACTTCTCCTTCGGGAAGTTAATATAAATATAAATATAAATATAAATATAAATATAAATATAAATATGAATATAAATATGAATAAAAATATAAATATAAATATAAATATAAATATAACTAGTTGGTTTGGCATTTAGCCTTGAGGCAAATTACATGAACTTCCCGATATGTGTAAATAATCGACTTGATCAAAAAAATGTGTAAACTAGTTGGTTTGGTATTTAGCCTTGAGGCAAATTACATGAACTTCCCGATATGTGTAAATAATCGACTTAATCAAAAAAAAGTGTAAATAATATACTTCATCAATCCTACTTTAAAAAAAAACGATAATAATTTTAGCAAAGTTTGACGAATTTTTAAAATTAAACTACTTGTTGTAAGGCCGTAATATTACAGTAAGTTCTATAAGACCATGATGTATATCGCCAAAAAAAGTTCCATGAAAAAAGGCTTAAATTTTTTTTTAACAGTTAATTACAAGAAAACGGCTCGGTAGATTTTCACCTAAAATTAATCAGTATCATTCCCAACCAATATCTTTCGAACAGTTTTTGATTTTTTAAAATCGGTTCGGTAGAATGAGCTTAAATGTGGACGAAAATTTAACAATTTGCTCTGGAAAAGCTGCTGTACCCTTAATCATGGGAGCACATCAACTTTAGTTCCACAGTTCAGTAAATTCATGTTAGATCGATGATTATTAAACTTATGGTAATTTTATAAATTTATTAAAACTTGGTTATGTCAAACATACGTAAAACAAAAGTTGTATATGTTTTCATATAGATCAAAATATGTTTCTAATTGAAAATTAGCCCATCTCGGGCACTGCGGAGTAAAATGGAAATGGGAAAAACTCTCACACTACTTCTTCCCTAGACAATATTAAAATTTAATATATTCGTTTCTTTCTCCCGATTTTTACGTTCAGAAGGAATACTTAAAGGGTTCTCCGCTCAGACGTGGGCATTCAAATTAATGGCGCAAAAGGGTCTGATCGAGTTTCCACACAGAATTGGCCCCACCCTGGTATTGAAATGATGCCATTTTCGAGAAAATCCGATATACCAAATTTCAAATCCGTAGCTTATCATTTGGCCGAGATATCATTGAAAATATGTGAAAGTGGCCCCTTTTTTCAAAGTCGTTTTTTGACGAAACTCTAAAAGATGTCGACAAACAAATAACGCAGTTCTATTCACATCGATGTGGACTATATTATCATTAATAAATATTCTATGAAAAAGTAAAAATAATTTTTAGTCCATGTGGTAGAACATATTCAAAAGGATGGGGCCAATTCTGTATGGAAACTCGATCAGACCCTTTGAAATGAAAATTAATGAATTTTAGTAATCGAGTATTTGAAACTAATTTTGGTATTACAATCATATTATATTTGTAATAATTCAATAATAACAAAAATATACTAGAATATATTATATTAAGATAAATATACAAATTCTAATATTATCTAGGAAATATATAATCAAACCGTAATATAAATCAACAAAAACATGGCCAGTTGTAATATTCATTTCAACTTATTATAATAAACATTTAGTGAAATTTAGTAAAAAATGCATTATAGTGTTAGTTCGTTCCATAGTCTGTCATTTTTAACTCTCAATAACTAATAATCATCCCGTGCAAAATTTGACATTCTTAAGCAATTCATTTTCTTCTAAACAATTTTAATGAAAACTTTATTAACGAATATACAAAGACAAACGAACAAGAATCGCCATTTTGTAAACTGACACAAAAATAATACTGGTAGTGTACTTAGTACTGGTATAATACTTCTTAGTAACCAACATAAAACATTTGAAAATACTTTTTCGTCGGCTCACTAGCGCCAAATTTGCGACTTCAAATGGAAGTAGCCCTTCTCAATGCGGGTTTTGTTCTGAGATAAAAGGTGCTGACTTCTTCCCTCAATTGAGTTTGAGTTTAACTTAGCTCACAGACCTGCCTTAGAGCTGTACTACCCATTATTATTATTATTATGCACATACATGTTATATGCCGACTTTAAATTTAATTTGTTCACTCCGTGCATTTATATCTAACACAGGTTGTAATCAATAATTAAAAAGTTGTAATTAATATGGTAAAAAGTTCCAGTCCATATTCGAAATATTAACATTTGAAAAATTTCAATTAATTTTGAGAGTAATGAAAAAACTGTGAAATTTTATTTGTCAATGGTTCTGAAAACTTCGAGAAACGTCGATTTTGTCAGCAAAATGTTATAAATCACAATTTAAAAGCGAAATATTACAATAAAATTATGTTTAAAGTCCATACCTGAGGAGCTTGACATTGCTCTCACTCCATTATCAACAACATTATCCAACACATCAACTGCTTTACCAGGTGCATCGGCAACTACCTACATTAACAACATTTTCTTTATTAACAAATCAATACGAATACATAATACATCAAAAGGAGCAATTTATTTTCTTTTGATTTTAAGGATGGATTTACGAATTTTAAAAGAGGAATAATAATTATTTCTCGAGGATACTATTTATCAAATCAATTAACTTCCTGCGATAAACTAGATTAATAAACATATTCAACATAGCTGAATATGTCAATATAAACAATTTTATTTAAACTGGCTTCTTAAAATATTTTTAACTTGCCGTAGGGTAAGTTATAGTAATCGCAAAAAATTCGAAAATGAAAATTTTTATATACCTATTCGTTTCAGAGGTTTCTGAACATTTTGGCATACCTTAGAAAAAATGGATGTATGTGTGTGTGTGTATAGGTGTGTGTTTATGGGTGTGTGTGTGCGAATACAAATTTCGTCGACGATTTCGGGAACACGGTTCAACCGAGTTCGATTATTCAAAAAACATTCGATTCGTATTGATAAGGACACATGCTGATCAGTTTTTGGCATAAGTAGGTCTAACCGTTTCGAAGATATGGGGCAAAATGTGCCACAAACGGTAACTCAGTTTTTAAGAGAACGGAGTGTCCGATTTTAATAATTCAAAAAATATTGTACTTGTATGTACAAGATGAAAAATTTATCAAATTTTCATGAAAGCAGGTCTAGCAGTTTCGGAAATCTAGTAAAAAAAGTAAAAAAAATGTATAAATTTTGTTTACATTCCTATCGATTCCGTACCAATGTTTATCCGTTAGACGGTGACGCGGCGCTTACGCGCTTCGATAATTTGTCTTTATACAGTTAAAGCAATACGATTGCTTTCAAAAAAAGTTCAGAATTTCCAAAACATTTCAAAATTAAGAAAAAAAATGTTTCTTCTTTTTTTCAAAAAAAGTAAATTTTTGTCAAAAATTCATAGTTTCTCAAAAATCTCATTTTTTCAAAAATGCTAATCTTTTAAAAAAAAAATTTGGTACGGAAAGTTCCAGCAATTTGCCTTAAGGCACGATGCCATGCGCCCCACTAGTTAACTTCCCGTAGAAGATCACTCATATTGATTTATATACATTTCGGTAGAGACTGTTGTGTAAATAACAAACCTTTTTCCAAAAATATAAAAGATATTGAAAAAATATTAATCGCTTTGTGTGTAATTTTGTGTCTCTTTTCTTTCCGATACATGCAATCGCCGTAAAAATTTGGGAAAATAATAGGTATATCACCGGGAGGATTTTTACATATTTTTTATCAAAACCAAGTGAAAAGGGTTGGCCATTAGTAAGATTTATTTTAAATTATTAAACAATTATATTTATAGTACGTTTATCTCTTTTACAACAAACGCATATCTTGTAATAATCATTATAGTAGTAGGGTAAAGCGGGGCTTAAAAAACCGCAGGAAAAAGGTCACCAAACTAGTGAAGAATGGACAGGTTTTCGGAAATTGAAACCAAAAGATACGGATAAATATAGGGTAAAGCGGAACGGTTTACCATATATGCAGTTAAAGCAGTACGATTGCTTTGGAAAAAGTTCGGAACTTCCAAAATATTTCAAAATAAAGAGAGTTTTTTTCCAAAAAAAAAATTTTTTAAATTAAACTACTTGCCGTGTGGCCGTAATATTTTAGTAAGTTCTATAGGACTATGATATATATCGCCAAAAAGAGTTCCATAAAAATCGGCTTAATTTTTTTTTTCAACAGTTAATTGCAAGAAAACGGCTCGGTAGATCTTCACCTAAAACTAACCAGTATCATTCCCAACTTTTGAACGGCTTTTGATTTTTTAAAATCGATTCGGTAGTATGAGCCTAAACATGGACGAGAAGTTTAACACTATTTTCCAAAGAACAAAGAAACGGCTCAGCAGATCGTCGCACAAAACTGACAAACGATAACCCTCACCCCGTCATACATCAAACGGCTTTTAAATTTCTGAAATCGGTTCAGGCCTTTTTGAGCAAATGTCGATGAAAACTCTAATTTTGACAATCGCCTAAAAAACGTTACTAATTTTTGCTAACTTTGACAAATTTTCTTGTGGTAGAGTAAACTTGTCGGTTAGTACCTACCGTAAAAAATCATGAAAATCGTCGAAAATTTTTTTAACAAGTTATTACAAGAATACGACCCGGTCGACCTTTACCAAAAACTAATCAGGTCGATTCCCAACCAATATTTTTCGAATGGTTTTTGAATTTTCAAAATCGATTCAGAATTGCGAGCTAAAACGTGGACATTTTTTTCACTTTTCTGCGATTTACAAAAACATTTAGGCCGATCGTCGTACAAAACCGAAAAACGCAAGTCCTCATCGAGATACATCGAATGGCTTTTAAATTTTTGAAATCGGTCCGGCCGTTTCAAGCCACCCACTTTTTTAAATTGGTAAATTTGGGAATTTTCCGATGCGTTGAAATCTATGATGGGTAAAACTTTTCCCAAAACTAATTGCACCATTCGATAGCAAAAAAAATCACTGATAACGATAGTAAAAAAAATTTTTATTTTTTTGCATTTTTAGAGGGGTCGGTGCTGACTATACTTATAGTTAGCACCGAATTTGGCCCCACCTATTTATCTCGAGAACGGAAAAAGCAAAAAAAAATTAGTTTATACCAATCGAAGCAAAACATCTTAAAAAAAAATCAGGTCATATCAGTTTTGCCAATTTCCATCATCGCGGTGCTAAGTGCAGAAATAGTATTTTTACCCATCAAAAAGCAATGACAGTAATTGCTTTGGTTTCAAAAAAATCGAAAGTAGCGTCACTTGAACTGTAACTTGTAACTTGGAAACTAATTGTCGGATTGTCATGAAGTTTTGACATACATTTTCTTAAAGTTGTTGCTTCACATAAATCCTATAGACGATTACATAACTATATTATCTATGTGTTATCCTACGGACTTATTGAGTGACGTAATAGTACTTTCGTAGTTTTAAAAACATTTGGTTGTCTATTTAAATTTTCCTATTATAAATTGTTAATTGTGGTGTTACTTTAACAACTTATACATATACATGATATATAAATTGATACATTATACATTTTGACGACATTCCGAATATATTATAGTTGTTTGATGACGATTGATTTTCATGGTATCATTTTGGTTGCGATTAAACTATATGGTGGCAACTGATTACAATTCCCAGACATAATGAAAGCGTACTAAGCATATTTTATACATATATAACTGAAATGTATAACAATTGACCTATTTTGTAAACGCAATGCGTATATCCGGCAGCTTCTTGAAATGACCACATTGCGTAATTTAAAAAAGCAAACAATTACTTAAATTTTTTTTTAATAAATTAGCTGCCCATTATTGAATTATTCGCAGAACAAAACATACTTTATACACACACTAACCATTATCCCCTCTGTGACTTGCTTCGCCTCAACGGTTTTACAACTTCCATAATTAGAACATTTCTTATTCAAAGATTTATTCTTGCATTTTATTGGTGGCAGTTGCATCGATAAAGAAATGTTATGTTGTTGTAAAGCATTCGATAGGCACATGGTACATTTATATTTTGAATTTTCTTCGGAACTTAAACTTTGGCTCATGCACGCCTTGTGACATCCTGATGAACCACAGTAAATGCAAAGAAGTAATATCCAGTCTCTGAAATTATAGAGTTGAGATAAATGATAGTAATTAATTTTTATGGTTGAGCGGAAAAAGATGCGCAATGAAAATTGGCTCAGAATTAATTTTCAACTCTTAAAACTTTGTTCAATTTTTGTTTAATCAAAAGTTATAAATTAAGTGTAAGTGTAAAACTTTCCCGAAATGTGTCGACTTAATATAAATCGCCTTAGTGAATTAGAATTGAGATTTAGCCCCTTTTTAAATTGTCACGATTCTTAAATGTGTTGAACTCATAATTAAATAAGTATGCCCATAATTATACAAACATCAACAAAATCGCATAAAAAAATTCTTCGATAATTAACTAACAAGGGAACCCTCAGGTTTACTCGTCCGGGATTTTGATGAAACTTCGCATGGTGATAGAGTTGATAATCAAACCAAACCTTGTAAAATATTATAGGCCTATGATAAGTGGTTTAATTATGAAAATTAATTAAAGTTGCTAAAAATAGACCGCGCGTTATATGATCCCGTAATAGTTATATCCTCATAGCTGTGCTCGTTGAAGCGCTTGCTCCTACGTTTTGCATTCGGATTCATAGATAAGAGAGTTAAAAGTAATCGAGTTTGAATCTCAATTTATATACTTATAATTTTTTTTTTTTAAATATGTATAATATATGTAATTATTTATAGGTGTGTTTCAAATAATTCAATTTTTGTTCGCAAATTATATGAAATAAAAAAATAAATATAATATTTTTGCGATATTTAACTGAACATAAAAATATGTTAAAAAAATACAAAAAATAAATTATAAGCTGTTGAGACTTCTGCTTTCAAAATTTTTCTTCTGCTATTTCCATTTGAGAATTAATATTATATCGCGTAGTTCGATTAGCATATTATTACTTTTACACAATTATATAATTGTGTAAAAATAATAATATAATACTGAATATTTTTACTGCTTAAATACCAATGATACCACTGATAAATTTTGTACTCTAAAGTGTTGTTATTTCAGGCTATGGAAAAACAAGATTAAATAAATGTATTTTGTTTCGTATATTTTTCGGTATGTATATTCCTGATTGCCGTCATTTACGGCCAAAGATTGTCGTAGTTAGAAATATCACCCCTTACTATTCAATAAATTATACATTTGAGCTATTCACACTTGAATACAATTTCATTGTTCTGTATCTTTAAAGTAACATTTTTATATTTTCTGGAGAATACACAATGGTATTTATTTTGACTTTTATGCCTAAAAAAGATCATAAAACTGCCTGCGAGACAAGAACCACTTCCTTCCGAAAGCAAAAACGACAAAAACACTAAATGCCTGTACGAGTTAACAGATTTAATACCAGTTTAAGGAAGTCGGATATGAAAAATCTTGTGAAACAACTCCACTTGTATCGGAGTGATAACTCCGGAGTGAGTTACCATCTCTAATATATATATATATATATATATATATATATATATTTCATTTATATATATATATATATATGATTTAGTAGTTAATTTTGATGTTGAAATATATGAGTGAGTTCTTGAGGGCGATACATCAAACAAAGAAAAGCCAAAGATTTATAAAATAATCTTATTTCCACGTTTCGACATTCAATTAATGTCATCATCAGTGGATCTAAAAACAGTATGAAAATTAGCATATCTAGGTAATTATAATATATGTGGATTGGTAAAGTAAACAATAAGAGAAAAATTAACAAATAGCAACACTTAACAACAAATCAAATATAAAAGATAGGAAAGGTAGTAGAACTAGAATTAAATAATAATTAAAAAGTATAGGCAAAACTATATTTAAGTACACTCATATAAACGTACGCATATATACATATATGTACGTACAACATATACACCACATATACATATATATATACATATATATATATATATATATATATACATGCATATATCATATACACACACATACAAACATATAATACACATATACATATACAGATACAACAAATATATACCTATATAGTAACACATATACATGTAAGACTATACACATATAAATATACGTATATACATATATGCAACGTGCATGCATATTCACAACGACGTACATGTACATGTATGAACCATACATATACTCATACCTATCTATGTAACTATAGCTATACACGTATACACATACAATACGCATAAACATGTATATACACATATATACACACATA